GATCGGTTTATTGATGGATGGCGCAGGCATCGCAGATAACTGCAACGCCTCGCGTATACAGACTTTCAATTCCTCTTTACGTTTTTCCCAGGCGGGAAGATCTTTGTATTGAGCGGCAATACGATCAAGTTCTGCCCATCCCTCATCAACCGGCCAGCGGTAATATTCGTAGACACTTAATTTATATTGACGATCTTTTTCTTTCCTTACTTTTAACTCAAGTGGTTTAAGAATATTGTCGAGAGTGATTTCTACATCAGGCCGGTATTTCCATTCAGCATAGGTTACCGTTTTATTCTCGACCATGCTATCCGCATACTTAATGGTTACACCATACTTCTGCTGAATGTCCGTCAATACCTGCTTTAATGGTTTTGCATAAGCATTATCAGTATTTAATTGGGAAAACAGGCGAACCGGTGCTATTATAACAAAAAACGTTACCAGCAGTGCTAACTGAATGGCAATCTTATCATCGAGGTTTATCTGTTTGCTGGAAGGAGTACCTATTTTTTCGGGGATGTCAAAAGTGCGGAATAACTTCATATTAGCTGCTTGACCGTCTTAGTCCTTGTTATCGGTTCATACAAAAATACGAGAATGTAGAAGAGAGGAGCGGAGAAAGAGAAACAGAAACAGAAAGCGGACGACTCCGAAAACACATCCTCCATTCTCCGCTCTCCACTTTTCGCTCTTTCTTAAATAAAAAGGGGGTAACGGAGAACCGTCACCCCGGGATTGCTTAAAGTTTCCTAACGCTTAGCGGAAACTGCTATATGAACAAAGATTTATCCTGGAAAATACCGGTGTACAAACACCCGGCAATACATCTGACGCTTTTCTTAAACTAACCTTCCTTCCCTCCTTAAAAATTTTATTGAATTAATGGTACTTCCTTATACTATTGCCTTTCTTCCGGGTATAAGACCTGTCATCAGCATATTGGGGTTATTTTAGAATATGAAATGCCCTTCAAAACCCTGAACAACAGTTTAAAATCGCTGCCTTTCAAAAGATTAATCAGCCAGGAAGAGGTGTAGTAGAATATCGGCTAATTGGTTCCAGGTAAAAAAGCAGTCTGGATCATAATGTCACCCATACGACGCGGCAAACCAGGCAATCTGCCTACATTTCCATATTATATTAACTTTATATGGTCGTCGTTTAACGACCCCGCTATGGCAGATAAAAAAAGATCGACCAACGATATCCTTCGGATTATTTCGGAAGCCAGTTCAGGCCTTACCGGTAAAGCGCTGCTGGATGAGCTTTGCAGGAATTTTGCCCGGGCATTGAATATGCAATTCGCCGTTATTGCCGAGTGTATC